CTAGAAAAAAACCGGGCCTAACCCCTGTGGGGGGGGGGGGGGGAGGGGTCAGTGCAAGGGTACATTTTACCCCAAGATCGGCTTTAATGCTTTTGGCTTCCATGGGTTTCCTTTTTACAGCGCAGGTGATTGAGATGAACTCTTTGTTTCAGTTTTTCTCGTTTGGAGAATATGTAAAGAGAATAATAATGAAGATGAATGCAGTAGCAGCAGCAGGCGGTGTGAACACTGATCATGTCAGTATGACTCGCGCTGCATCCATGGCTGACGTTTCTGTTTATACTCCATGTTTGCCTGCTGTCTTTGTTGCTGAAATGCTTGGCTTTCATCGTTCACTTCACGCATTCATATCTTTATTATTGTAACATCACAAAACAGAAAGCTGGATCAGAAATACGGTAAACGATAAAACAACATCTATTGTACCCGACATCATCATATAAACTTCTGCAGATCATGTGAACAATGTCATCCACCTTGACTGATTCATTCCCTTAAGTCACAATTCCGGAACGCTGAATGATGGATTTTTTTTTCAAGGGCCCTCGCGAATTCGTATGTACATAAATGTTTTGTTCCCTTATCTTGTCTTTTTATTTTTCCTGTAAGTCCTCTCTTGTCATGTTCAGACATTGCTCTGTATTGTAATTATTATTACAATTCGGGCAGATTTACTAGCTCAGCGTTTCCTCGCTTCTGATGCTCCCCATTGATTCTTTTTGGTTCCTTCAGACAGTCCAGTTGTTAGACAATTTTTTCACTTGCCAGGTACATAGACATGTATGTAAGTCTCTAAGTGAAGAATCTTTATCGGCAGCACAGGGGTGCAGTGGTTAGCACTTCTGCCTTGCAGCACTGAGGGTCCCTGCTTCATGTCCCAGTTCATGCATGGAGTTTGCATGTTCTCTCTATGCTTTGTGGGTTTCCTCCGGGTACTCCGGTTTCCTCCCACACTCCAAAGACCTGCTGGAAGGTCAATTGGGTCTAAATAGGCCCTTGTATGTATGTGAGACCTTAGATTGTAAGTTCCTTCAGGGCAGGGTCTGCCAGCCCAGTAAAAACAAGGGGCAGTGAGGCTTGCAGAGCTCCCTCTAGCGGCTAATCTATACATTTCCACATTTAATACAACAACCTCCGTCCCCCCGCGTCCCCATTCATATGCCAGCAGCTGAATGTAAATAGCGAGCAGTGGTTGGTATATTGCTGGCTATTGCCACCCGCTCCAAGCTCGCTCCCGGGATGGACTACAATCTCAATGAAAATTAGTAAACTAAACATGAGATTGTAGTCCATCCCGGGAGCGAGCTTGGAGCGGAGACTACTTTACAACACACACCGGGACCATGGGGAACAGACTTAGCCCCCCTCCAGAAGGAAGGACGGTGTCAGAGATGATTGGAGGATCTACAGCCGAGTGATACACAAATAAGATACATTGTTGTTCATAGTTCAGGGACTTGAATGTATTTTTGAGATTTATCTCCGGAGTTTAGTGTCACTTTAAGGTAAACACTGATATAATAACATATGTGATCATTGAATATACAGACTGAACTCTCCTTTGAAATTGGGTTAATAATCGTATTTATACCCAACCTACAGTCTCAATAAAGAAACTAAAGGTACATTGGGGGCGGATCTGAGGTGGAGACGCAAAACATCTGAATGCAATCTGTAGAAATGGTCTGATGCTGCGAAAATATCATTATCGCATTGTGATTCTTAAAGGGTAGCTGCAGACTCCCCTTAAGACTGTGAGGGGACGGCAATTAAGAAGGAAGTCGTTAAGAAGGATTATCTGTCGGAATCTCCTTTTGTGTATTTCTGGGGAAGAAAACAGTAACACCCTGAGGAAAGTGGGTGGCAGTCGGAGCCGTGCGTTTTGTGGGTGTTATTATGTAGAATCAGCTGTGTTTTGATGTCATTTACAGATGTACGTTTACATCTGCTGGTAAGCTGAGACGCTGGAGGGGCCGCATCCCTGCCTCAGATGTGCAATTCATTGTAATATTTATTTCCGTTTTCTATCAGGATGAAATCTTTGTCCTGGAGGAAATGATCTTAGACAGTTAGTGGTCCTTGCAAACTCTTTGTTTGTTGCTCATTAGGGACGCTTCACATTAACTTGAAATTTGTTTATATACTGCGTGCGTTGCTTTGAATATGTGTATGAATGCAGAAGAATCTTTGTTTTGGTATTGAGCGGAAGAAATCTACAAGCTGCCCACTGATGATGAACTACAAGTACCACAGTGCACCCTCCCTAGTTATGTGGATATGTCTTCCCATTTATTAATAACATCTGGAATTAATATAGACACTGAAAGCTGTCCTCGGGGTGCAGCCTGTTCCAGATCATTATATAATGTTTTCATTCCTTATGTTACATGCGTTTAAAGATGAAATCTGGGGACATTTTTTATTAACTCAGGCATACAGACTGGCCACATGTGATGTTGAGCCTCCAAGATTGAAGAAACTGAAATCCAATGAATGAAGG